ATGCAAACCTGACCCAGAGGTGAGAGAGGGAGAGGGGGAGAGAGAGAACAGAGCCTGGCAACAAGCACAACTACGGGAAAGTGTAAAGAATGTGGTGGCTCTCAATAATGAACACAAAATATAGGAAAGCGTGGATCAAGTTCTGTAACTCAAGGAATCTGTGCAAATGCACAAGTATGGAGAAAAATAAGAAGTCTTAATGCAGGAAATGCATCTCGGGCATGACTCTCCCTAGGGTCTTAAGTAGATCAAAGTACAGGAAGTGGTAAGGTCTTTCAGACTTGCAAGATTCTGTGACTGTAAGTGTAGTTTTAGTATTCGTAATATTGGTTTCCAAGTCTGGTCTACCTCAGAGCCTACTTCGCCTGATCCACTGACTGCCGACTCCTACCCCTTGGTCCTGGTCTTACCCTCTGTCTGGGGCAATAGGGAATCAGTCCACACCCTCCTCGGTGGGACAATCCTTCAGCTCTCTGAAGACAGCAATTCACTCTCCCCTTGCTCAAATGTGTAGACAAAACGCCCAGGGATTCCTTCAATCACTCCTTCTACTGGGCTTCGCAGCCTTCTTTGGGATTTGCTCCTGTGATGGTCTTTTGAAATGTGTGTCTGGATCTGGACTCAGTACTGCAAATGTCACCTGACCAGGTAGGAACAGAATGGACTTCATGTGTATTGATGGATCAGAAGCAGAAAATGAGCCAAAAGTCCAATTTAACTTCAGAAAAGGCGACTGCAACCCTAAACACAGAGTTGGGTGAGTTGGGTGGTATCTAAATCTGAGAAACAAGCAGCCTTGGCAGAAATTGAGAGTTCAGAAGGGCTCCTTGTTCCTCTTTTCTGCACCCAGAATGCCGTGCCCCATGCCAGGTCCTGCATTTTAGGAAGGACCCTGAGCAGGTGGAGGCCAGTGGGAGCAGCCTGGAAGGGGGCAGAGCTGGGGGGGGGGGGGGGCTGGGCGCACTTCGCCTGCAGGCAGACCCGCAGCCGCCTGGGGGCGGGGAGGGGCCTCTGCGGTGGCAGGGCGGGGCGTCCGAGGCCGAACTAGATGATATTCCAGTTACAGGATTTTTTTCACACTCCGCAGGCCTGCTCACTCCCAGCCCGGCGAATCACCGGACGGTCACTTTAAGAGCGGTGGACTTCAACTCCCAGAATTCCCAGGGCGGCACTCGGGGCCGCGGAGCTCTGGGAGTTGCAGTCCACGCCCCTTGACGCGGCTCAGGCGAGACTCGCGGGGCTGGACGGCCGCTGGGCACCCGGGCCCTCTCCCGCCCGCCGTAGCTAGGCCGCCGCCGCCGCCGCCGCCGCTCACCCTGGCCGATGGCTTGGTAAGCGTTCTCCGGGTCGTGCACCAGGTCGCAGAGCGCCATCAGGGCCCGCTGCCGCGTCAGCAGCTCGGGGTGCTGCAGCTCCTCGTTGAGCTTGGGGAGGCCTCGGCGGCCGAAGGCCACGGGCGCCTTGGTGGGGTCGATGTCGGGGGGCAGCTGGGCCGAGATCCGCGGGTGCGCCATGCCGGAGGGGAGCCCGCCGAGACGCGCGCGCCTGGTTGCTAGGCGACGAGGACGCCGGGCGGGAAAGTCTGCGCACGCGCACCCGCCTGCTCGGGGCGGGGCGGGGCCTTCTCGCGGGTCTGCGAGCGCTCGCCCGAGCGGCTTCGGGAGCGCTCGGCGTCCTTCGTGGCTGTGCCGCGCTCCGAGCGCTCCCCCTCCCGCCGACTCGGACCCGCGTCCTGCGCCTTTGCCCGCCGCCGCTCTGCGACTCCGCGCCGCCTTTTCCGACCCCGCCGCCTGCCGCTCCCTGCTGGGCCGGGGCTGGAGAGGTCGGCGCCTATCCCCGCCTGTTGCAAGGGGTGGAGGGCTGCCGCGGCTCCCAATCCAAACCTTGGGAATAACCCCTTCCTGTGCAGGGGAAAGGCCCACCTCGATTCCGGCTCCTTCCACGGTTGAGAAGTTGCTTAAAGAGAATATTGCAAAGTTACGAGAAGGGCCGATCCGAGCAGGTGGTTTAAAACCAAGGCAAGGATGGGTAGGCTTTACTGCTCACCCAGGCACAGCAAATCGGTTGCCAGGAAGCCTGCGTGTTTTCTGGATCACTTGGTTCCAAGAGCGGATCCGCTCCTGTACAAACATTGGCGGCTCAGAGCCTCGTGCATTTGCAGAAGGGGAGGGAGGGGTTGCTGATCAGCCCCCCCCCCGCTGGGTCGCTGTGAGTCGGTGATGAGTAACCCGCAGGGGCCTCCTGGAGCTCCTGACTCTGCCGAAGGCCTTTCAGCTCCTGAGCTGCAGTAGAAAGATGGTGCTGAGTGGAGCAGGATCAGACCTCAGTTCCTGAACGGGAGTGGTTTCTCTTGTGAGACTCAGCCAGATGCAACACAGAAATGCAGCTGTTTCCCTTCTGATCAGCTGCTGGGTGTTTCCCTGTTTCTTGGCAGGTGGAATTGTGTCTGTTTGGTTCTGAACTGCTGGGCATCCCAAAGAGAAGAAAAGGGACAGGAAAGAGGGGCTCAGAAGAAATGGAAGGATTGTGGCAGAAATTTTGGAGCTTCGGAACGGCAAGAAATGCCCAGACAACAACAAATTTTGGGGGCCATGTGGAAAAAGGCAGAAGGGCTGTTCTGAGGAGCAGGGGTTAAGCAAGACATGAGCACTAGCAAGGAAATAGAGCCTTAACCCTGACTGTTCCCAAAGGGAAGTGGAACCAGACCAACACTGTGAGCTGATCAGAGAAGTTTCTTTATTGCTACTTGCCTCTTTACAAGAATCTCAACTAGATTGACTGCAGTCTCTTGGGAATAACCAGACAAGGGCTACGGGGGTTTTAGGGAGGGAGGATAAGTTTGGGTCACTTTCTCCCCTGCCAGGATTCCAAGTTACCTAGTGGGGGAGTCTACCCTGAGAAATGCAGCTCAGAGTAGATAAGAGGAGTAAACAAGGGATAGCTAATTTAAGGAACGCAGGCCTCCATGCCCAGAAGAACAAGGCCAGGGCTAAAGGAACTGTAATCTTGGAGGACTCCTGGAGGCCTGGGCAGGGGCCAGAAGGGAAGAGTGAATGTTGCTCCTCTCTTTAGAAAAGGGAAGAAAGTGGAGCCAGGAGAGTAGAAGCTGGGTGTGTAACTGTACAAATGACAAGGTCCTCAGGCAGGTCATGGACCAGAAAAGGCCTTTGGTGGGATGCAGCTGCTAAAAGGCAAATGCAATTAGGGATGCATTAATGGGTTCAGAGCATGAGAAGCAACTGTCCCCCCCCCTTGCAATTCTGTGTCCAGTTCTGCTACCATCACCATCTAAGCAGGATGATGACAAAACGGGGTGTGATCAGAGGACAGCTGTTGATGGGATGAAGGCTCTGGAAGGGCACAGAAGAGAAGGCTGGGAAAGATGTGGTGATGCTCTTCAGAAATCCAAAGGCTGCCCTGCAGAAGGGGGGGGAGCACAAGAGCCAAGAGCTGGAGACCACCACCTGGAAGTGGATTCCGGTTAGGGCCCAGGAGGAGCTGCCTTCCGGCTGAATTGCAGCCTCTTTCTTGGAAGTGTGAAGTTTCCATTCTCCGGGGGTCTTCCAACAGAATAACAGACTTGGAAGGGACCCTAGAGGTTTTCTAGTACAAACACAAGTTGAGAGAGTAGATGACCTCCAAGGTCCCTTCCAGTTGTATTATCATATGCTCATTTCCGTAAGGACCCTTGGAGGCCATCTTGTCCAGCCCCCTACTCGGTGCACGAATCCTCAATCTGTCCGTGTGGAACATCTGTGATCCAAAGCAGAGACGGGTTCCAGCGGTTTCGCATCGAATTGGGGCGGACGGGGAGGGGGGCGCCCTTCTGGGCACGGAGCCTCTCCTGGCACCGGAGGGGAGGGGAGGAGAGGCATTTTCGGGGAGGGAGGGGAGCGCTCGTCGGCGGAAAGCGGGAGGGAGGGGAGTTGGGCTGTTGCAAAAGCTGCCCGCCCCCGACAGCGCGCGGGCGTCGGGGAGGGCCGTGCCCGGGGAGGCCTCTCCCCCCCTCGGGCCGGTTGCCATGGCCACGCGGCACTGGCGCCGGAGCTGCCAGCCGAGACCGTCTCGCCTCCCGCTCGGCGCTGCGGGGCCGGGGAACCGCTCGGGACTCCGCCTGCAGCGCCGCCGCCGCCGCCCTGCCTTGGAGCCCGTGCGCGGAGGAGCGGAGGTGCCGGGGCTACGCGTACCCTTCGCCGCGTGCGGGGACTCGGCGGGCTGCTGCGGGTGGCCGAGCGGGGAAAGAGCCCGCTGCGGCCCTTCCGCTCCCCGGGGCTAGGCGGCTGCACGGAGGGCCGGCCTGGGTGCTGCTGCTGCTGGCCGGGGAGGGAGGGAGGGAGGGAGGCGCCTTCGGGGCGGCCACAGGCCGGTCGGGGGCCGAGCCGGCGAGAGGCACCTGCCCGGCTGCCGCTGTTTCGCGAAGCGCCTCCCGGCAACCGGCGCTCCCTCCGCGAATCCGGAGCCTGGCCGGGCGCGGGGACGACCGTCGGGCTTCCCCCGGGTGGGTGTGGCAGAGGGACCGGCCGAACGCTGTGCCTCACGCCGGCTCCGGCTGTTCAGGCCCCGGCTGAGGGGCTCCGGGCGGGGGAGACGCGTGGCGAGGCGCCCCTGGCAACGGCGCTTCAGCCGGGACAGGCGAAGGCCCCGCTTGGAAGGGCGCGCAGGGCCAGGAAGGGCGGCCAGCCCCTCTTCCGCCGAGGGAAGGCTGGCCGCGGAGGGCCCGCAGCAGGGCGACCGCGGCCGGGACGCGCGGGGGCTTCTGCCTCGTGTCCAGGCGGGGCTCCCGGTGGAGCTTGGGGGGCGCTGCTTGGGCTGAGGGGCCGAGGCTGCCCGCCTGTTCTCTGCCAGCCTCCGGGGGCTGAGCCGGTCCCGTCTCTCGGCTTCGTGCGCACGCCGAGACGCTGGCCTCCGCCGGCCTGGCCGGGGTGGGGGCGGTAGAGGAGGGGAAAGCGGCCGGGTCCTCACCCGCTTCCGTTTGTCCTGGCAGCAGCCCAGGCTGGGCGATGAAGGGCCCCCTCCTGCCCGTGGGCAGAGACCGCAGGATCTGCGACTTCCCCAAGGTAAGCCAGGAAGGCCCCTCCGCCCCTCCCTGGGGGGGGGAGGAAGAAGTGGCGGCCCCCTCCCAGCCTGGGCGTCCTAGTGCTGCCGCTCCCCTCTGCCCGCAGTGCTACACCCCGGAGGCCTGTCTGCAGCTCAGGGAGGACTTCCACGCCCAGGTGAGGGCGGCCTGCCAGCGGAGGAACCCGGGCTCCGTTAGGTGAGTCTGCATCCTTTGCTCCCTGTGCTCTTCCACCTGCCTTGCCTTCTCAACGAGGCTTCCCTTACTTAGCCAAGCAAACCAAACCACCCAGGTTCATCCTGTTGTCTAATTCCTGCAAATCTAATTCCTGCAAAAATAGAAACTGCTTTGGATTTGAAGGACAGGAGTAACCTTTGGAAATCACCTCACTCTGGTTTTTTAAAAAAAATTTTATTGTTTTAAATTGGCCACCCAGTTAGTTCCTGGAGATTCTGAGCAGCATAAAGAACTAGAAAAGACATAAAATCAGCTAAAAATATTAAATCAAGCCAACAGCCCAGACTAGCACAGTCTAATAAACAACAAAATCCAGAAAACCAAACAGAGGCCATTAAGCAAATAACAGGCATCAACCCCAGGCCTGGGACCCAAAGCTTTCCAGAACCTCAGGAGAAAAGAGCCTGATCTTTGGGGGGGGGATCTTGTTCCAGAGAGTGTGGCCCCAACAGGGAAGGTACTCTGCCCAGGTCCCACAAGAGGCCACCATTTAATGGGAGCCCCCTGGAGTGCTCCCACTCTGCTGGAATGTACTGGGCAGGCAGAAGCCATTGGGGATACCAGAAGCCTCTCAGGTATCCCGGCCTCACACAGAATTTCATAGGCCATAATCAGCATCTTGACTTGACCTTGGAAGCCAGCGGGCAGCCAACGTAGCTCATGGAGCAGTGGTGACTCACAGGCACACCAAGAGGCACCTGTTGCTGCTCCTGGCACCACTGCATTTTGAATCACCTGAAGCTCCCGTGTGGCCTTTATGAGCATCCCCTGGTAGAGGGGCATCCACATGAGCATCCACATGGCAGTAGTTGTGATTTTTGGAAGGGCCTCCTGATCAAAAAAATGGTGCCACTGGAACACAAGATGAACCCCCTGTGCAAGAGCCAGGATGGCTGACGCGGGAATCCTAGGAAGTTCAGGTTGCCAGGATTGAGAAGCACCACATGGAAGGAGAATGATGGGTGGTGCTTTTCCTGTCAGAGAAGGGAGAGGAGTTCACCAGTCACAGGTTGTTGGGTAAAATGCGGGTCCAGCATTGTGGCCAAAGCTGGACTGAAATCTGGAGGCCGTTTCTCAAGCCAGCCCAATTCTGACCACCTTCACCTGGGAGACAAACCACTTAAGGCTGCGTGTGGAAGAGCACTCGGTGTCCTCTGCATGCCAAGGCCGGGAGGTTGTGGCAGCAGGGTCTGAAAAGATCCTCTGGCTGGGATATTTTCAAGCCCCATGAGGTGGCTTCTGGTGCTCCGTGCCAAAGTGCCCCCAAACTATAAAGTCGGGGTGGGGTGGGTGGAGGGTGCAGCTTCTCAGGGAACATGAGAAATTGACCTCTGGGAAAAGAAAGAGGAGGAGAAATATGCAGGAAAAATGTGATCGTGCAGGTAACTCTGTTGGATCCAAGTGAAAATGTTGATTGTGTATCTTCTAGGAGATCAATTATTGTAAAATGGTCCCCCTCCTGGTCACTGCATCTCTAAGCTAGAGAGTCCCAGCAACCTGCTGATTAAAATGTTGGACCAGGAGCCTGGAGGCCCCCGTCAAGCTCCTGGGAGAGCTTGGCTGTCCTTCCTGGGCTGGGCTGAGGTTTGTGAAGCGCAGGTTTGTTGAGGGAGAGGTAGGAGAAGATGGCAGGTAATCTAATCAATATGTACAGGCATATTCTGGTTTACATTTTGCTAGATCTAAACAAATGCAAGATCTGTTTGTTTTGTGAAAACAAATCCATTTTGGTTCACCTTCATGTCCTGATGTTGTCTTTGCTGCAGATCAGGAAGAGGGTCCTATCTGTTTCTACATTTCTGGAGCCGCCCCCCCCCGCCCCTCCCCCAGTTTGCTTTATGCTCAGATTGAGAAAGAATTTGGGGGGGTGGAAGCAGAGGGATGCAAAGCCCCATTGAAGTCTGAACTGCTTCAAGCTCCAAAGAAGGATGCGATGCTCCTGATAGGGGAGGACAGGGCCAAGTTGGATCAAGCCATGTAGGGCTTCAGATTTTGCACCCCTCCCCTTGAAAGTTCATTCGCTCCATGAAACAGTCTGCTTTTTCCTAACACCGTATCAACCTGTCCACTGTGAAAATGTGTGTTGCAGCCTAAAGATCTCCAAAGCGGTCGTGGTGGGAGACCTCTGTGTTGGAAAAACAAGCCTTATCAACAGGTATCATAATGCTTCCTTGCCAAAATCATTCCATTTCCCAGCAGCAATTAATGGCAGCGTCTGTGTTTCCCCTCCCCCCCCCAGGTTATTCTAAGTTCACTGGTCATTTCCTGCAGGGATCCGTGAGTGCCATGCAGGCTGCTTTGTGCCCTTCTTAGGGTGGGTGAAGCCCCTGTTCCTTGGGAGCACTGGAGGCCGGTGGAAGTGCCAGGCCTCAGAGCCCGGCCATGGACAGGGTGCAGAGGAGGAGGAGGAGGAGGAGAAGGAGGAGGAGGAGTTCTTCCTCCCTCCCCTCCAAGGAGCCTGTCGATGGACCCGGAGCTCGAAAGCCAGACTTCTCTCAAAAAGGGTCTAATGGCAGGTGTGGGTTATGCAAGAGAACCAGGAATATGTACCCAGCTTCTAATAAAAATCTTAGGTTATGACATTTATCCCTGTTCCCCAAAGCACGGAAAATATTAGTTGTTGTGGGCGTCATCGAAATAACAAATGTGCTTACTTGAAATTTAGCCGTTCTTGGGCTTTTCTCAAGCTCACGTCACCGAAATTTCAGAAGGAATGTGGAGCACCTTTTCTGGCTACCAAATTTTATTTTAAAGCAGCAGCTTTCGTTCCCTTCATCAGACTCGGGGAGCAATTAAAACCATCCATTTTCTCTGCTATTTTGTGTCCTCCCCATGCTGACCATCTGGCCTATGTGCTGAAGGGGACTTTCTCCCAGATACGCACATAAAGGGACAATCACAGTCTTTTGAAAGAACTTCCAAGATCTAAAATGACATGCTGATTTTTTTCCTAACCATTTTTCAATTGCAGGTTTTGTAAAGAGGTTTTTGACCGGGATTACAAGGCAACCATTGGCGTGGATTTTGAAATTGAGCGTTTTGAGATCGCTGGGGTGCCCTACAATCTTCAGATGTGAGTTGGAAAGCAGCTCCTGTCCCCCTTTCCCCTTCCCCATTTCCATGTATTTGGAAGGTTTCACTAGAATAACTTCAAAGCAGCGTTTCTGATGGAGAAGTCAGCCTTGCCTTACAGAATGCCTTCGCTTGAGGGAGTGTACAAATTTTATGTGCATGCATGCAACCCGACGCACGGAGAACTTTTACCAAGTAAAGTATGTACTCAGGAGGTTGGGCATTGTGCTTCAACTCCCAGATTCCATCAGCCCTCCAAGGTAGACCAGGCTGGAACACCGGAGCACTCGGACCACTTTTATTACATAGTTACAGTATAGGTGGTCCTTGACTTATGACCATAATTGGTCGTGCCCACTTCGGTCATGTGTTGTGACGATTGTAAAGCGGGTCACCCATATGACAGACCTGACTTTACAACTTTTTTTTTTTGAGGCGGTGTTAAACCCATTTTTCGCATTTTTGCTGGAAGAAAAAGCCAGTTATTGGCAAAAACTTCATAAATTATGACCACGGGATGCTGCAAGCAGCTGCAAATGCCGGCCAGCCCGAGAGCCTGAAATGTGGTCACATGACTGCGGAAGGGGGAGCCATTCAGACTCTGGAATTGGATCGTAAATACCTTTGGGGGGGTCTGTTGTAAGTCAAGGACTATCTGTAACAGATTCCTGCAAGCCTGAATGTGCCTGCCCGCCCCCCCTCTGTGAGAAGTAGGGAGAGTCACTCTGAGAAGCTTTCTCAAATTAGTTTCTGCCCCAATTCAGATTTCTTTTATCTGATCATTGCAGCTTTTCCTCCGGTCCCTCAGGATTATTCATTCTGCCTGTCAGAGATCCCTTACCAGGGCATTAGACCCCCTACCATCTAGCATTCTAGTGCACTTGATGATGCAGGAGTTAAGATCCAGTTGGGTGCCCACGTTGGTTGCCTAAACACTGCATCTCTCCTTGGGCCTCGTCTAAGCCCTGGAGGCACAGCGGTGGAAAGCAGCGTTTTCCAACAGAAAGCCTCCCAGGAGTAGAGAAGCTAATTAAGAGTGGGGATGTGTGCTTGTCTTTGTCTTGGGGCCTGTTCAATTAGCATGGTCTCCTGGGGCCTTCAGCTAAACGGGCTAATGAGGGCATTACTGGTTGACAGTAACCAGTGACCCAGAATGGAAGCTGGCTGGCTGGGATGTCTCAGAGGGAGCTTCATCTGAGCCTCAGAAACTCTGGCCAGGATACCCAATTCTGGAGGGCTGCAGCACTTGAGGGAGTTAGTTTCCTGTTTTTTTTTTGTTTTTTTTCAATATAAAATTTTTATTGTTTTCCAAAAAAGTTAGTTTCCTGTTGAGCAGCGGCTGAATGCCAAGCAAACCTGGGGGATTCTTGAAGGCTCAGAGAGGGTTGGATCTCACGGAAGCCAAGATCAAGAATAACTGGACGTCTGAGCTGAAGAGGCTGGGGGCCCGTCTCAGGATGGGGTCTAAAGAAATGGTGATCCGTACCTGGCTGCATAATTGAATTAAAGCAAATGGGGGTGTGGGTGTTCCATGCCTCTGGAGGGCCAAAGAGGTCCTCTTGTGATTTAAGCCGCTGGTCTCTCTTGGATAGGAGAGGCTTTAAGATTGATCCATGTCTCCAGAGCTCTGGATTCCTCTAGCTGATTTCATGGAAAGCATCTGGGTTTATTTGGCACCAGAAATAGCACAACAGGATGTATTTTGGGCTCAACAAGAGGCAAAGATGCCCAGGACACTGAATTCTTCCATTGGCTTCAGACTCCTTTGAACTTCCTGCCCCTGCGGCCTTTCCTTAGCTAGGCTCAATGGACATGGACGCCTCAACTGGAGGTAACCAGGTTCAGTCCTGGATCACAGAGCAGGCTGAAGGTGATGTGCCAACTGCAGGAACCAGCGCGTCCACGTACCCACCCTTTGGTATTCCCCAGGCCACCTGCAGCACCCGATCTTCACTTCTTCTTAAGGTCCTTGCAGTTTAACAAAAATAAGAGGGATCCTGCATGGTGTAGAAAGAACCCTGCCATCTTCTCCCCCCAGAGAATCCCTGGTGGATGACCACCCCAGGGGTAGGCCACCTTGGCCCTTTTATGGCTCATGGGCTTCAACTCCCAGAATTCCTGAGCCGGCATGGCTCAGCTTGGAAACCTCTCCCTTTCCCCTCAGCATGGCTGGCTCAGGAATTCTGGGAGTTGAAGTCCACGAATCATAAAAGAGCCAAGGTTGCCTAGCCCTGGCCTAGCCCGTCTGGTGGGGATTTGGGGTGGCACAGAGCATCTCGGAAGGCTGCAGCAACGTCCCTTCTGCCTCATGGGGAATGAAGGGGCCACTTTGGGCCCTCAGCGGGGCCACTGGGTGAAAGCTTTCGCAACACGCACCAGCATCTCAGATGTATTTGTTGTTCAAACAATGTTGCTTACTCCTGATCTAACGACAAAATCTCCCTGAATGGCTCCCCCAAATGCGGCTGTTCAGTGAACTCAGTAATGAACTCGGCCCAGGAGGGACTTTTGCTTGTGGAACTGTAATTTAACGTGCTCTTTCTTTCCCAAATACAAAAGTCTCCATCTTCTAAAGTGGGCAGTTATTGATCACGTAGGCTGAAAAGAATACATGTTGTCCTTGACTTAGAACAGTTCATTTAGTGATCATTCAAAGTTACAATGGCACTGAAAAAGTGACTTATGGCCATTTTTCACACTTATGACCGTTGGAGCATCCCCAGGGTCAGGTGATTTACATTCGGACACTTGGCAACTGACTCACATTTATGACCGTTGCAGTGTGTCATGTGATCCCCTTTTGCGACCTTCTGACAAAGTCAAAGGGGAAGCCAGATTCATTTAACAACCTTGTTAACTAATTTAATAGCTGCAGCGATTCACTTAACAAACGTGTCAAGAAAAGTCGTAAAATGGGGCAAAACTCACTTAACAAATTTCTCACTTAGCAACATAAATTCTGGGTTCAGTTGTGGTCGTAAGTCGAGGTCTGCCTGTATTGAAGTGGGGGATACACGGATGCTGATGAATAACAGCCAGAGTGATTTTTATTCGATATGTATATTGTGTGTGTATTTTCATTTTGAAGGAGGAGAGGAAATTGTCCTTTGGGCTCTTGGCCCAATCTCTCCTCTAGCCGCGTCAGTGGGGGAATTTAGGTCCCCCCAGAGCCCCGGGTGACTTTCTCCTTCCCTCCTGCCCAGATGGGACACGGCCGGCCAGGAGAAGTTCAAGTGCATCGCCTCTGCCTACTACAGAGGAGCGGAAGGTGAGCCGAGGGCGAAGACCCCGTCCTTGTTCCCCCCCCCCCGCATCTTTGGCGTGGCCAACCGGTGGCTCCAGGGCTGCTCAAGCCTTGCACAGTCTTATTTTACTTTCTTGGCAGTGATTATCACAGTTTTCGACTTGGCTGACATCCAGACCTTGGATCACACCAAGTAAGTCACTCCAGTTTTCCCTTGTGGCTGACTTTGCGTATCCCACTGAGCCACGAATAATGGAACCGCGTTTATTGGCTGAGGAAGACCTGCCTGCTTTTACACAAAGCCAAAGTCCAGCAAACCCTGTTACAATTCAGGTCATTCCTGCTGTAGCAGTTTCTGCCATCTGTAAGATTTTTTTCCAACCATTTTTTGGCCAAAATAATACCACGGTGGGTGGAAAAATGGCCTATTAGTGTCTCATCATGAAACACTGAATGATTAAAGGGATCTGATCCTGCACGCCCGCTCTGACTTCTGCCACACACACTACACAGAAAGGCCTTTAAGCTGGCCTGTGGCATTCCTTTTTTTGAGAATTTTTATTGATTTTTTAATAACAGTTCAAAAGTACTTATTCAACAAACGTGTTGTCTGGGTTTATCATTCACTAATACAGATTGAATTCCTAATCCCTTATTCTTTTCTCCAGCCATTGATAAAATAAGTCCCAAGTTTGAAAATATTCTGTTTCTTCTTTTTCTTTCAACCTCAGAGTAAGTCTGTCCATTTCTGCTCAATCTAGTATTTTTTTTAATTATTTCTTCCTCTGCTGGTATTTCTTCATTTTTCCAATATTGTGCGAATATGATTCTTGCCACTGTTACCACATGTAAAATCAAGCATATACCTTGTTTGTCAAGTTTTTCTGGCCTGTGGCATTTCTGTAGCGAAGAGTCGAGCTCAGAGTGGCCGTCACCAACTGGAGTTTGGAGTCATGGCTACTCCACATCTAGGTGAGACACTCAGCCTCAGAAAAGCCACATGCGGGTTAAATATTAATTTGCACGCAGGGAAGAGGCACGCATGCATTAACCCTGTGAGGAACACGGCTTCGCACACCCTGCCAGGGAAGGAGGCACCGTTTTCTCCCTGCTGTGTGGAATCAAGCTGGGCAGGTCTTCCTAAAGGGGGAGGAGGAGGAGGAGGCCAAGGGAGGGGGGGGCTTGGCTGGTCCTGGTGCCCTTACGTCAGAACCGCCTCTACAGGCTGCGCACCAGGGGGAGGGCACAGCCAGGCTCAGTCTTGCTGGACCGTTCCCCTCTAGCCCTTGCGATGCCTTCAGCTTGGCTCCAGCGGGCTCTGGGCTCTTCTTTGGCTCATGTGGTTTTACCCAGGCTGTTTCTGGGGGGGGGGGATCCGTTGACTCATTAACTAGACTTGGTGGGCAGGAGGCCCGTATCCGAGGGGACTGGCACAGGGACCGTCTTGTTTGCTGAGCGGGAGAACAGATGGCGTGCCTTCCTTCCTTCTGCCCTCTGCCTCTGCCTCTCCTCCCCAGGCTGGGAGTCCGCTCCTTCTCTTTCTGCTGCGCTACCACTTGGGGCATCACCAGACTAGTTTGCCAAGGAGCAACGGTGCAAACCTGGGCAGATGGCTGGCCGCCACCTGATTAGGTTCGCGGAGGGGAAAACAGGCTGAATGCCGAGAGGCAGAGGGCAGAGACCTGTTCACTTATTTAAAACATTGCTCTAGCTCCCCCTGCCTTATAACAGACTTTGGTTGGTTCCCAGTCAAGAATTAAAACAACATAAAATCATATTGAAAGCCATAAACATTGAAAATAAAAACCAGGCACCATGTCAAGCTTCCTGCATGCAGTCGCCTCATCCTATCGCAGCGTTTGGGGGAAACCGAGGCCTCCAGTGCTTTCCAGGAGGGTAGAGGCCTGCCAGGCTTCAGGGGAAGGGGTGTTCCACGGGGCAGCGGTACCACAGAAAAGGCAGGCTTCCCATAAAATGGCTCTGTTTTGGGGAGGGGGCCAGGGCCGTCCCCACCCTATCTGATCTGGCAGGGTGGGTAGGTGACCTTAGGGAAGGTGGTCCGTCAGATAACCTGGGTTTTGAAAGTGATGACCAGCATCTTGAATTGCACCTGGAAAGAAACTGGAAGCCGGTGCAGGTCACAGACACAGAGATGCTACATGGGCAAAGCTTGGGGGCCCCATTGTGGTGTTGCTGTGTCCCGAACGAGTTGATGTTTCTGGATGGTTTTCAAAACAATGTAACGCACATTGCAGGGGGTCCGTATGGGAGGTGAGCAAGGCACAGGTGACTGGGGGTGAGATGCACTTTGTTCACCTGCCCCTGCAGGCCCAACAACCAGCGGGGGGGGGCTGCCCATTGCAGCAGGATGGGGGGAGGCATCCTTGGGGCTGGCAGAAGGCGGCCTACGCAGGGTGCCTTTCTGCCCCGAGCACGACTGAGACAGGTGTGTCTTCTCGGCTCGCTCACCTGTCCTCTTCTCCCTGTCCAGACGGTGGCTGGAGGAGGCCCTGCAGGAGAACCGCCCTGGCTCCAGCTTTGTGTTTCTGGTGGGAACCAAGAAGGATCTCCTGGTGAGTCTGAAGAAATCTGTCTCAAGGACCAAGTTGGTCAGCTGGGAATCCATCTGCAGCACAGGGAATGGAGCCTGTCTGTCTGTAGAGAGCCCTGACAGCTCGGGGGAGGGGGGCTGATGCTGGCTGAGTGAAGAGCTGGGAGGCCCCCAGGCCCTGCTCCTCCGCCATAAGGGAACGGGTGTCAAGATGGCAGCCAAAACACACACAAAAAACAGGCAGAGCTTCCATTACACTGTTCTGGTGTTTTTGACCATAACCGGTAGACACTGGAGTTATCCCCTAGACCAGGGGTAGGCAACCTTGGCTCTTTTATGACTCGTGGACTTCAACGCCCAGAATTCCTGAGCTCATAAAAGAGCCAAGGTTGCCTCCCCCTGCCCTAGACCCATTCTTTTGGGGTGGGCGCAGTACATTTGAAAGATCAAGAACATGCACTGGATGTTCTTGTGAAGCAACTGAGGGGAGGGTGGCCTCTTTGCCACCTCCTTTCCTTTTTCCTTTCTCTAGGGAGGTGGCTGCACCTCCCCATTATTTCTTTTCTCAGAAAGCTTATTTGGGCTCTTCTTGGAAGAGGGTGCTGGAGGTGAGGCTTGGGGCTCCCCTGCTTCCCCCATTGAATCTCTTTTTCACGCAAAGGCCAGAAGCGCAGGGAGCACAAGAGGACCCCAGGCTCTCTGTCCCCCCCCCAGCATCCTCCTTTGTGTTGCTGCCCCCCTCCCTTATCTGAGTTATCTTGGCAGTATGAAGGATCCACAGCTTGTAGGGCTCGTTGGGCTGGCTGTGTGGCCCGATGCCACGTACCCCACTTGTGGCATTCAGGCTATGTGGCACAGCCTGGGTCAGCCACCTTTGGCCAAGGCAAGAGTCCGTTACCCTGAGTGAGGAGCTACTGGACAGGGGCAGCCACTCAGCCCCCAAGTGGGTCAGGAGGGGGCTGGCCTGCAGAGTCCTCGTACACCAGGCTGTGGAAGTTCGGCTGCAGTCAACTCTGCCCCCTCATCTACTTGGGAGGCCTTTTAAGCTCACTGTCCCACCCTACTCCTGCAGCTGGAAACATCCCCGCAGCCCCCTCGTGGGCTGGGAAGAGGGCAGTGGAAAAGCAGGTGCTTTTGTGTGGGGGCAGCACCCCATTCCCCGTCTATGGCTCTTTCCGTTTCAGTCCAATGCAGAGAGCGAGCGGACAGAGCGGGATGCCGTCCGTCTGGCCAACGAGATGCAGGCGGAGTATTGGTCCGTCTCGGCCAAAACAGGTCAGTTGAGCCACAGGAAGGCAGCACAGCAGATCCAGGAGGGAATGCCCCCCCTTGCCCCCTAACACTGTCTGGAAGGAGCCGCTGGGCCCCGAGGGTCACCCACCCACCCACCTTTGGTGTTACAAGGAGGCTTCCTCGTGTGCAAGGGAGGTCTCGGACCACAGTACCCATGCGCGTGTGCATTTCTTCCCCCAGCAAGCAGCCACGTTTTGTCTGTTCTCTGAATACAGCAACAACAGTTAGCAAATGTATCTGCTTGCCAGGTTTTAAGAATTTGGGGTGTCTCCTCCCCCCTCCCCATTTTTCTCTTTCTTCAGGGGAAAATGTCAAGGACTTTTTTTTCCGGGTGGCTGCCTTGGCCTTTGAGAGGTCTGTGCTGATGGAGCTGGAGAAGAGCTGCAACCGGCTGGTGCCAATCGGCACAGGAGACTTCATCAGTGGGTGGACCCAACTGCCTCCCCCTCCTGGGAAGGGGTCTTTCTTTCTAGATCAGTGTTTCTAGATCAGTGCACCTGAAGACGGATGGACTTCAAGCCTCAGAATTCCTCAACATGCTGACTCTGGAATTCTGGGAGTTGACATCCACCCATCTTCAGGTTGAGGATCACGGAGAGGGCGACTAGAGTGCTCCTGTCCGGAAGGAGCCCCTGTGGGGTTCAGTGGGGCTTCTTCCGGGTTGAGCCCAGGGAACGGCAGCATTCAGCTCTTCCAAGGTGGCCGAGGGGACATCCAAGCCCATTCTGGGAAACACCAATACAATCGCTGGCATTTGGGGCTGGGAGGAGGAGAATGCTTTGAAGCCTTTCCCTCCCCCGGCTCCCAGGTAGCCCCCGTACCCCCCCCCTTGGTCTTCTCCTTGCAGGGATAGAAGAAAACGTGGCGTCTTCACACGGATCTCGTCCATCCAACCTGAACTGCTGCTAATGGCCGACAGTCAGCCGGAGCCCCCAGTGGACCCACTGCAGGCTGCCCCCCTCACTCTTGGACAAGCGGGAAACCACTGGACCTCGGAGAAGCCCCAGGAGTGAGGCAGAGCCAATCCCCACCTCTGCTGCTCCCAAAGCCCTGCTGAGCCTTGGAGGCTCCCTTGCAGGGAAGGCCCGGCCCAGCTCCCTCTCCCCGGAAACACTCCTCCTGCTCCAGATGCGAAGCGTTCGCTTCCTGGTTACCTGCAGATGGGAGAAACAGACTGGACTAAATCAGGGCAAGAGCCCCAAACCAGGTGATCCTTCCTGGCAGCCGGAAATTCTACTGGAGCTGGACTTCTAGTTAAACCTTAACCATGACTAATAGCTGTTAAAACCAGCAGGAGGAATTTGTACTTAAAAAGGAGGATATCTGGAGTGAGAAAATCTGGTAATCCCTGGCTGTCTCCTGTTTAGGGCCCTTCTAGTGGACTCTGGGCACCAGAGCGTCTTGCGCTGAATTAATGGTTTGAATTCCTTGTTAGCTTTGCTTAGAATTACTGCCAGAGCAACTCCTGTAAAAACAGAACTTTGTTTTCATGTCCATCGTAGAATTAAAGGCTGTGCTGCGCATCTCCCCGTAGTTCAGCAAGACTTTAGCAGCCATCGGTGACCCCTGCCAGCCTTTGGGACCCAGAGAGTTCGATTCAAGAAGCGAGTCCTCACACTTTGGCTTCAGGGAGACATCTCGGCTAGTGGTGGAGACGCAGGTCTAGCATTACGGGGAAACTCTGAAAGGAAAGGGATTTCCACAACTCGCCCCCTCCCCCCGTCAGTGGATGTTATTCGCAACACCTAAAACCACCTGGGTACACGCTGTGCCAGGCATGGTCAGGCCCTCCCTGGTTGAAGGGAAAATTCACCCATTCCAGACCGGTGAATGTTTCCTGCTGCCAGTGATCCATCGTGGGAAGCGGCTTGGTTTGCAAAGGATTTCCTCTGTGGGTTTATTTGTTTCACGGCACGTTAGCTTTTAGTAGTACAGGTAGTCCTTGACTTAACAACCACAACTGGACCCAAAATTTCAAACTGTTGCAACTTCAAACGGTCACTAAATGAAGGGCTGTAGGTCAAGGACCTGTACTGATGATGTCCAAGAAGCAAATGGAGCAAGCTGGCCTTTCCTTTATGTTTCTAAATTTACACAAGTGACCGACTGACTTAGTGCTGCTCCTGAATCCCGTCAAATCACATGTCAAGAGCCCAAATAATTTTGGAGGGTTTTTTGCCATTATAACTCAGGGAAGAAATCCCTCCAACAGGTAAGACCCCCCCCCTCTGTGCTCCCAGCTGGACGAGCACCCAGGAGGCTGGCAGAAAAGGCGGCTTTTCCTGCTGGGTCCTGCCAGTTGCTGGGGGAGCTTCTGGCTAGAAACAGCCCCTGGCTCTGCACTGAAAGGAACCCCCCCCTCCCCCCATTGGCTACCTCTGAATTGCCCAACAGTTTCTTTGGGAAGAAGGAGCTGCTAACCGACATGGTGTGGGGAGGGGGGGAGCGCACAGTCTCCTCATGAGTAGGATTGCCACCACTTCCCGCCAGAGCTCTGCTTTGTCTGGAGAGGCTGTTCTGCAGCGTGTCTGTCGTTCCTTCAGCGGACAGAGCAAAAACGGGGCTGCCTCTGGAGCTGTTCTGGGGCTGCTGTTCAGGCACTGCTGGGCCCAAAAGGCTCTCCGACATCACCGCCACCATCGCAGGGCAAGCTTGTGCTGGGTGGGAAAGCCCTGAGGCTGCTTTTTAGGCAGAATCGAGCCAGACCCTGGCAGCCTGTGAACAGCCCAAGAGCCCAGTGGTGGGAGAGGCAGAGCTTTGCAAAAAGGTCTGGGGCACAAAGTCACAGCAGAGAGAACAGTTTTCTTCTGTTATTCTCCCCAAATTGCAGCACTGTCACTAAACTTCCAGGCTTCTCTGAGTGTGACCATCTGACATTTCTCCAGAATCTTTTTTGAAGCACGGATACATGCAGTATTCTCCCACATGCATACAGAGTACATGCAGTACACACGGTGGAGAGTCTACCATGTTCTCCGTCCTGCGTGTCACAGAGGCTGCCAACTGCACATCTAGTAGCCCCAGAAAGACCCGCACAGCCCTCGCTGAGAGTGGCTCCAGGGACCAAATCAGGCAGGACTGATTGTGCTGCCCCTCGTCAGCCTCTGCCTGATCCACTTGCAAACATGATCTTGTTTCTCAGGGCTTAAAAACAGTTTCACCACCACCACCCTTGGCCTCAGTGCTGGTTTTTGCATATTTCCCTCAACGTTGTCTCCCTGACTCTTTCAGCCAGCTGATCCTAAAGGGCAGTCAGTCCCTTTTGGGTGGCACGCCATTTTAATTTGTAGTTAAAAGCTGCATTAGCCAGGAAACAGACGGAAGGGAGATGACAGGGCCACGCTAGGCAGTCTGATCTGCCAAAGTGTCACTGTACAGCAACACCAAGCAAAGTTCATTCTTTGTTTTGCAAAAGTATGGGTGGGAAGGAGGGGGTGTCCTTATGGATACCTCTGGCTCATAAAGCCAGGATGTTTCTTTTTTTCTTTTTTTAATTCCTTGTGTGTCCAAGGAATTGGACAATGAACTATTCTATTCTATTTCTAATTCTTAGATAATCGAGGAGGCAATTTCTTTGTAGCAATTGTGCCGTTCCCAAGACTGTCAGCTGTCCTGGCATTAAGATGCCTTCCCCATGCTGCTCTTTTCCCCTCTAGCAGACTTCTCAGTCTGGAAAAACAGAACTACTGATTATTTCTGACTCCCTTTTCTCTGCATCACGTTGCACACCTCAGAAGGGAATACTGAGATGGCTACAGCATGTGGGAGAAGCCCAAGAGCAGCTGTACAAGACAAAATAAATGGCTTATTGAATCCAGAGAAGGAACAATTCAAAGAAAAATCTAAGAAAAGAAAAATCTAAGGCAAGGATGTGTGAGAAAGTGAACTTTTTAGGGATAGAATCAAGATCACATGAAATGTTACTACATATAATGCCTTAGTAAGACCACGTTTGGGATATTGGAATATTTTGCTCGCCACATTGTAAAAGCTGTTGAAAGAGTGCAACAAAGATGATTAGGGGACAGGAGGCTAAAGCATGAAGAGTGGTTGCAGGAATTGGGTAGGTCTAGTCTCATGAAAAGGAGGACTAGGGGTGACTTGATAGCAGTGTTCCACTAAGGGGCTGCCACAAAGAAGAGGGGGATCAATCTATTCTCCAAAGCACCTGAAGGCAGGACAAGAAGCAATGGATGGAATCTAATCAAGGAGAGAACCAATCTAGAAACAAGGAGAAGGTTCCTGACAGAATTAATCAGTGGAACGACTTGCCTCCAGAAGTTGTGGGTGCTCCAACACTGGAGATTTTTAAGAAGAGTCTAGACCAGGGGTAGGCAACCTTGGCCCTTTTATGACTTGTGGACTTCAACTCCTAGAATTCCTCAGCCAGGCTGGCTGATGAATTCTGGGAGTTGAAGTCCACGAGTCATAAAAGAGCCAAGGTTGCCTACCCCTGGTCTAGACAATCATTTGTCTGAAATGGTATAGGGTCTCCTGTTTGAGCAAGGGGTTGGACTAGAACAAGGGTCTTCAAACTTGGCCCTTTTATGACTTGTGGACTTCAACTGCTAGAATTCCTCAGCCAAGCACGTTGGCTGATGAATTCTGGGAGTTGAAGTCCACAAGTCATAAAAGAGCCAACTTTGAAGACCCCTGGACTAGAAGGCCTCCAAGGTCCCTTCTCTGTTATTCTGTTATAGACAAATTACCAGCATTAAAAGATATAGCCATTTTCACACTGAGAGGTTCTGTGGAGAAGATGGCAAGCCCTGGAAGGCGGTCTAGGCCCAGATTCCCAAGGAGAATCTTATGGTGAGACGGGTGGCAAATAAATGTAATAACTAAATAAAATAAAATATAAAGGGACAAACCAGTTTAATGGATGGAGGCAGAAAGGCATCTGAAAAATCAGACAGGCTCCAGGGCTTGCTGCTTCTCGTCCAGAGGTTTTCAAGAGACAAGCACTGGTGTACTCTCTCTCCTTCCTCGCCCTCCATAACACCCACAGTACCAACATTTGTGATTCTTCCCGTTTTCTTTTTCCATGGATCTCCGGGTTCAGTCTCCCCTCGAATGGAAAATGGTGCTCCAAATTTCTGCACTGGTTTTGGGATTAATGAGCTCGCTTTGGTCCCTCAAAACAGCCCAGGGCCGGCCTCTACGTTTCCCGAGATTCGGCCTCTGGGAGCCCCAGGAAGCCCCTCATCCCCTCCCTGATGACCCAGGGAGGCAGAGGAGACGCTGGGCCCGCCGATGCCTTAGGGCGCACGGGGGGGGGGGCTGGGAGGTAACCCTGGTTCTGCTGGTAACTCCTGGCTGTTCAGAAGCCGGGATTGCCCGGAGTTTCTTCCCACTACTAAGGGAAGGCCGGAGGGCCCCTGACTCCCCCCTCCGCGGCCTTTTATGCCTGCCTAGACCCAGGCCCATCCGGGGCTGCCCGCTTCTCCCGCCACTGGCTGGGCGGCAGCGCCGCTGGTCCCCGAGGCGGCTCTGCTCCCGGGACCCGAAGCGCGTCTGCGGAGTGGCGGCCCGAGCGGCATCCCGGAGCCTTTGCGCCGCGGAGACCCCGAGTTTCGGGAGGAAGCAGCCCGCGCTGGGCCCTCCGGAGGCGCCGCCGCTCGCAGAGGCAGGAGCGGGGAAGGGGCGCTCGGGCAGGCACAGCCGCCGCCCCTCGCAGGACGCGCTCGTCCGGGGGTTCCGGGTTCGCTTTTGCACGGCGCGCCCGGACTCGCCCGAGCGCTTCCCCGGAGCGCAGCCGGTGCGAGGCAGCGCTTCCTCCTTGGGGCTTCGGAGGAGAGGCCGCAAGGCAGGCCGCGTCGCCCCCGTCGGGAAAGCCCCTGGGCGGGGGCCCGCTGCACAAGCCGGAGCGCGAGAGGCTCCGGTGGGACCGAGGCGCGGGGGGAGGGCGGCCCCCGAGCTTCGAGGGCAGAGGGCGGCGGCGGCCTCGCGGGCATCCGGAGACTCCCGGCTGCCTCTCTGATCTCTGGCCGGGCGGCCGCTCGGCCACCACCGCCTCTTCCGCGCCCTCGGGGAACGCGAGCGCGGCCCGACCGCCACGGCCGCCGGCACCGCTTCCCGAGACTGTGCGGAGCGCGACCACGGCGGCCCTCTGGGCGGCCGCTGCCGGACCGCCTCCCGCGCGGGGCTCGGCGGCCTGCGCTCTGCACGTGCGCAGAGG